GAATTACCAACACATTGCAGTCGTAAAGATATCTTCGAATTGAACGGAAATGAAAACGGTTTTTCAGTATTAAAATAGATATAAAATATAGATGCGTCACAGACAAATTTATAGTAAAAACGAAAAAAATATTTTTAATTACATTTTTTCAGGTTGTACAGATGACACACCTGATGTAAACATTTTATTAGTATAAAAGTTCTGTAGCTCATATGTACTAAGAGTGCAGCGCGCAGATCGGATTACATGAATGAATAATACCAAGCCTTTTGAGCTACAATTAAAAGCGTTAAAAAAAGATATCCCCTCAACTGCAATTTATAGTAATTCGTATGTGTGTGTTTAACTAATTGTAAGATACGATGGCGCTGCAATATGTTAGATAAAAATAAATGTACACGTTTGAATGAGACAGAACGATATTGTAAGAAATTGATTTATAGCAATTTCGGCTGATCTACAGTGTGCCATTAGTACACACTACACCGTGTAGAACTGGTGCAAATAAGTTCAGTGCAATTACACCAACGGGCTCCGACTAATTTTGTGAGGGCCGCTTTGCATACACCTAATATGCACTTGTGCGATATCCAAACGAACACGCAGCATTAGTGAAGAACTGCATCATTTGACCAGCCGAACACATAACACTCAAAATGTGCAATCGGTGCATCCTAGCCGAAATTGCTATTAAAGATACCATTATGTTATCGATATTTTTAATTTGAAATTGAAAAGTCTGTTTTATCGACTGCTGCAAGTTCAATCGTCATTACAGCATTCCCTTAATATATATTTTATATTTCGATAAAAAAACGTCAAAATACCTGCTGTCGAAAGAGTATGCCTTCTTTAGCAAGATGACGAGTAAGTGCCATGGACTGTTGGAAATGAACGTTGTCATCTGCAGTTCCGTGTACCAAATAAAACATCTTATCACGCAGGTATCTTACTTTGTCATAAATATTAGATTCGGCGTAACTTTTGTAATTAGATGTCACATTCGGGAATCCCATGTACCTCTCGGCATATGCAGAATCTGTGTAATAATCATTTATATTATGTTAAAATCACAGAGTAATAAATGCAAATCCAAAATTTAAAGATACAATTAAGAATCATATTAAATTCTTAATATAACAGATCTAAACCTTTAGTAATTAGAAATGCTCTTTCACTACCTATCCAAATAAACCATTCACGTTTAAAGGCTCATCTACACGATAAGACATAAGACGGCGTAAGGGCGCAAAAGAGTTGCTCCTGGTCGTAGCGGCGTGGTGTAGCGGCGCAAAAGAAATAAATTAATTTTATTCCAACGCCTGCGTCCACGTTACGCCAACTTACACCAGTTTTTTCAAGATTAGATTAAGTTACACATGGTTTGGGTTGCTCATATGTCTGACTTCATCTCCATAAATCATCGCCAGTTTTTTATCTCTATAATGAATGCGAACGTTGAAAACATAAGTGAAGATGGTTAGACGAGCATAGCGCAGATTTGTTGCGCGTACGCTTGAGCTTGTGCTTGCGCCCTTGCGCCGCGCTTTCACCTCGTCGTGTAGATTAAGGCGATCCTAAACTGGAATCAAATTCTAAAAATGTCGCTGTTTTACCGACAATTTGTGAGTATGTATGCGTGCGATATTGATGTGGTAATGTGTAGTGATATGTTCATGTTTACTACCATATTGATATCACGCACACATCGTAACAAAGAGTGACCCCAAAAATGGCCTGTATTCTTGCCCTCGATTCCGGACTTTATCTTGGTGATAAATGATAGTAAACCATGAGACACTGAAACTTTCTGAAACTTTCAAATTGAGCCTACTCTTTGTTGCCAAATAATAAAGCCTCAAAGTTATCATTTTATATCGTGTTTCTCAAAACGGATCTTTGCATGTGAATAGCTTTTAGGTAAAGTATTTTGGAGAAAAATGTTTCAGACAAAAATTGTAGAATGTGAAAAAGTACACTGAGAAAAATGGTTTGTTTGTATCAACAAGATGTATATGGCTGAATGAATTTTGGTGAAACCAAACAGAATTTCAGATTATAATAAGAGGATTTGATATTGTATTATTAGAACGTTTGATAGACTTTACTATACGGATTTAATTAATATTTTCTAGTTAGATCTACAAAATTTCTGGTTATATTAGTACGCTCTATCGCCACAAGATGGGCATGGGACGAATTCAATTCTCGTATTTAAGAATCACTACGGAATAGTATAAAAGATGCAGCATCATGAGATCTTTAAGATCTCTTAAAGA